ACTTTGTATTTGATTGCGGCCTCCGGTGAGGGTTTTCCTCCAGGATCTCTGGTTTCCCTCGTATTCAAACAGTGTCCGTGTTTTTGGAACCGCGTTTATGGTTGGTTTTCCAGTTAAAAATTATACTTTTTCGAACGAAGGTTTCTTATCATTGAAAGTTAAGGCCATGTTAAGCATTTATCCATAGCATCTGCGCCCGAAATCAAGTCTAAATTTTTGGTAAGTCCAACTTCATGTATAAACCTTACTCGATACATGTGTTTTATAAATGTAGTTTAGAACTTACCGGGCATGCATCTATACTTTGTGACGTTTACGCCCTTAAGATTCTGAAAAATCCAAAGGAACATAATGGAATCTAACTGCACACACGGTTACTGGGTCGAATTCCCGGTGCACTGTTCTTTTTCGTCAACGATTATAAACCAAACGTTCAATTTAGAAGATGTTGATCTTGGCTTTTCAAAACTGCATGAAAAAGTATATGTCACGCATTCGCCTCGTGCAGTATTGAACTTTTCGTTCCTTGTATATGAACTCTTGCTGGAAACGCACTCGGAGTGCTTTAATCCTTAGTTATCACATCTCTGTTGTTTAGGCCGTATTCTGTGGCCGATTATCGTTCAGTTTCGTTGCCCCCCTTCGGGCACTACGTGAAAACACGATAGAAAATTAGGATAAATTATAGAAAGTCTAAATTCACTTGTTTTCACCTGCACAAACCTGCAGTTTTCGAGCATTTCATCTTCGAAAAATCAGTGAATTTGCATGTTTTGCAATACACCGACGCCATTTTGATTCGGGAAATGTCTTGGATACTTGGTGTAATATACGACATATATAGCAGATTCAGCAGTTTTATACCGGTATTTACATGAAGTTTCCCGCATTTTTGCTGCACAAGCTGGTTTCAACAAGGAAGCTTTGAGTGGAGTTTTACGAGGTTTGCCGCAAATTTTCATAGTTTTTCAAAACTAAATTAGTCAGAGAAGACTTAGACAACAATTAATCGGAAAAACATCCGCCAATTTGCGATTTTTTTATAGCATTCAGCTCTTGGAATTTACAAATAAATAAGAACAACTTTATTTACACGCATCAAAATAATCCCACGAGCGTTTTGTTTCTAGTCAATTTATATAAAATAATTACTACACAATTCTTTTCCAGCATACCCTTTGTTTTATATTAACAACTTTTATAATACACACGTTTTCTCAACAAAACTATTTACAACATCTCAGTTTTTTGACAAAGTTAATTACCAACGCCAACATCAATTTAAACGTGATTTGCAACGTACAACTACTGTACATGTTAAAATATTGAACACGCATACCAAGGTTGATATCAGCCATACGTTTTAATACCAGTGTGGGAGAATTACGAGCGCCTTATAATTTTAAAACCCAAATAAAATGCTGAACTCAACCCTTTTAATCGGACAGCTAATACCACAACTCATCATCGACGTCATCTTCGAAATCCAGATTAGATCCTGATCCTTCAAGTTCATCATCGTCATCAGATTGAGCCAGGCCATAACTGCTATCATCGTCGTCACCATCTTCAACTACTGCATTCTGGCAATCACCACACGAACATAGGTCGGTGCACTTTAAGCCAGCCTTTTTGCAGGAACAGCGCATGGTCGAGCATCTAGAATCTTTCACTTGCACTCAACACACTCAATTAAAGATCGCGGAGCGGGTGGGTGTGTCATCCAAGTTATCTCCAGTTCTTTATCGTCAAGCGTCCAGCCATTGCCAACCAGTGATGGAAGATCGACTTCTGCATTAAACACTGATACCATGATGCTGCTTGATTGCTAATGCCATTACCAGTAAAAGCGTGAAAGCCTGGTAAACAAAGAGCAACAGCCACGCCCAAGAATTTCGAGATAATTGCTACAAATACGTAACGACGTCTATCTCCCGTGCCAGTCAAAAAGAAAATCTCTTTCTGGATCTGTTGTTGCATGCCAATCGCAGGTATAAGAACATCTGTATCAGGGCTTTTGATGATAACTTTATCGTACGTTGCTGCTGCGTGGTTGGCATGTAGAATTAAACGAGTGTCTGCTTCTTCGTGGTGCTATGAAGCGAAAACACCTCATTACTTGTAACAATATCGTTCGGGGAATCACCGGGATATAAAACATAGCATATTTCTTTAGCAGTTACGTACATAGTTGAAATGGAAAACCACCGGGAGGAGTTACATGACCTCCAGTGTTTACATAAGAAAGATATGAAAGATTCCTTGTTTCCACCGGATCTTAAACACTTTTTCCACTGTTTTGGAACACTCTGATCTTTTCTGAAGATTTGACCTTTCTGGATCCTTTTTCAGCTCTTCGTTGTCTCTTTGCATTCTTTATGCTCAACTAAGGATACCTGTCTGCAACAATCTAATCGTTTGGAATTATACTTTCGTGCTAGCGTGTTGAGGTTTTTAAAAGAGCATCATCGCCAAATGTTTTCCATTTTCCTTTCACCGACTGAATAACTGCCATAGCATCTACAATCAGTGCATTGTTGTTAAATGCACAAACATTGACTTCTGGATTTCTAGATTCATTTTCCAATACTTCAGCAAGTTTAGAATTGGGCCAACTTGGCAGTTTTCACAAGTCCTCACACGTTTTCATAAGGAAAATGTTTGAAATTTGTTCTTTTTCAACTTCGTAAAGATGTCTGGGTCTTCGCACTAAAAATTCGTTTTTAGTGGATTGATGATAATAAGATAAAGGCGTTGGTAATTAACTTTGTCAAAAAACTGAGATGTTGTAAATAGTTTTCTTGAGAAAGCGTGTGTATTATAAAAGTAGTTAATATAAAACAAAGGTTATGCTGGAAAGGAATTGTGTAGTAATTATTTTATATAACTTGACTAGAAACAAAACACTCGTGGATGATTTTGATGCGTGTAAGCAAAATTGGCGGATGTTTTTCCGATTAATTGTTGTCTAAGTCTTCTCTGACTAATTCAGTTTTGAAAAACTATGAAAATTTGCGAAAAACCTTGTAAAACTCCACTCAAAGCTTCCTTGTTGAAACCTGCTTGCACAGCAAAAATGCTGGAAACTTCATTTAAATACTGGTATAAAACTGCTGAATCTGCTATATATGTCGTATATTACACCAAGTATCCATGACATTTCCTGAATCAAAATGGCGTCGGTGTATTGCAAAACATGCAAATTCACTGATTTTTCAAAGATGAAATGCTCGAAAACTGCAGGTTTGTGAAGGTGAAAACAAGTGAATTTAGACTTTCTATAATTTATCCTAATTTTCTATCTTGTTTTCAAGTAGTGCCCAAAGGGGGGCAACGAAAATCGTTTTCTAAGCAACTTTTCGTGCCAGAGAATACGGCCTAGTTGTCTTGTATTAAATTTCACGATATAAAAATGTGTTCACATAGCTTGTTACTCGACTGTGCTATACAAAATATTGTGTTTTTGTATTTCTAATAAAACGAGTAAAAGCTATAATTATAAGTAATTATGCCCAAAATTTGCACAGCGGGCAAACCACGTTGGGCAACCGCTACTTGTACAGTTTAACAGCATAGTGGCATTTTAATACTATATAATTGCATGTGCAATACGGCGGCGTAGATAGAAGTTAGAACTAACATTTTGGAAATGTTTTACCACTATATACAGTACGAACTTGAATAGATTGAATTTCATTTTCACTGAGTGATCTTATTTTAACGTTCACAAGCGTCAAACTCGTAATCATTATTCATTTCAAATTTGATTCGTAGATGATTGCTTTGTTCATGCATTTCTTTACTTGCTGTTAGAAATAAATAAAGTTATTACTGACATACTCCATAAAGGTTAACGAATATATGTCATTTATCGGCTGCGAGGTTCGGATAGAGAAATATTTTCCCGATATATCAAAATGTCTTGAGACCGAGGAGAACTACTCTTTTATCCGGACCGACCAAAAAGGTAAATAACGTGTTTATTTTTTAACAAAAAGCGGCGTCCGGTCCTATTATCATTGTGTAGGTAGACTCGGCAATGGCGACAAAAACATACACAATCAAAACCTTATTGGTTTCATATCAACTTCAATTTATCGTGATAATGATTATAGTCTATAAATTATTTAAAAATAAAAAAGTCAAAAGTTTGCGAATAAATCTTTAGAAAAACAAAACAAAACAAATACGCTTTCGCTCGAGCATAAAATATAGGATTCCGGACTGTGGTTTCAGAAACCGTAAAATTCCGCCCGGTGCTCCAGCCAATCAGTTCGCAGGAAAGGCTAGGATTCCGCCCGGTGCTGATTTGCTAAGAACTAATTTAAATTATTAAGAGGAGATTTTTTATTGTCGCGTATTTTGGCGGGAAAACGCTCAAAACCTAAAATCTTTTTGGCGTACCACTCAAAATTTGTTACTAGTTTAAACTAGTGTAAAAATTTGAACTAAGTTTTGAACTGTATTTGGTGAATGCAAAACACCAAACAAAGGAGTTACTAAAAAATAAAATGCGGCGGCTATCAACGATGTTATAATGTCAACGCCATTATAACTGAAATGAATACAAAAGAAGCTTCGATTCAAGTGTCATTTCCTTCCCGCCGTATCCCGAGAATTCTTTTCATTTTCACAATATTTTGAGATTATACAGTAAACATACTTTGTGGATGCTTTTCAGGTTTGCAAAACATTTTTAATGCTGAAAATTTTAGTGCTGTTGCATGAAGATATAACTGAGGTTTTGAGCATATACTACGCGACATAGAAACTGAAATATCTCCTCTTAAGTTTTATTACATTGTACGTTTCGTGTTGAGACGAACTGTAGTGCGTATTGTCTCAAAAAACATTTATCTTCCTGTTGGCTATGTTGCTGACGCGGGTGGGCTTTATATGGACAAGATGTTATCTACCGGATAACAGCTGAGATTGGAATGCAATTAAATATTGTCATTGTCCAACTATGAACAAAATGAAAGTGGTTTTCAGAACGAATGCATACAGAATACCGACATGGAATTGTCTATCGTGGCTTGCGTGTGAAATAATACCCAGTCTATTCGATCTACATATTCACTAGACGTCATCAATTCTCGTTTTGTCTGCAAAATAAGGGCCAGGGAAAAGAAAAGTTACAAATTACAAAAGGTAATCGTTTTACTTTCTGCCTAGGCAACTCTGGTAGGAAACTTATTATTGATTTGGTATACGCGGTTAAATTTGGAACATCATTCAGGTTTTTCAAATTTTTTTCATCTCATTTTATCAGTTCGATTAACTTAAAATTGAACGTATAGTAAAATCGGAGAAAATTGCCTTGGTATTTATATAAAATTTAAATAACTTTTGGGCAATCGAAATATTATGCATACAGTGTAAATGTGCTTTATAACCGTGTTGTGAAAATTTCATCTCTTGAAGTTCGGAATAAAATCGCTATGTAAAGATAGGACAAGATTTTTCGCTACTGCTTTGAGTTATTAGGCAGATAATATGCTTATAAAGGCTTTCTTCCTCAACCAATGTTGAGTAATTTGGGCTTAATAACTTTCTCGTCTATATTTTCTAAAATTCTGTGAGTTACGTAATTGTAGACAGGCGCTTTGTTTACATTGCATACCTAGTAAATAATTAACGCTACATTGGATCTCTATGTGATTCTGAGTGAATATATCATATAAACTAGAGTTTCGTAGTTTAGGAAAAGGGGAAAGATGCGAATTTTAGGCAATTTTGGCTTAAATCAACTGTGCATTAAATGTGGTGAATTTCTAAGGTTTGTATAACCTTCAGAAACTTCGAGAAGTTTTTTAGGTAGTTGTTATAGCAAACTGCAAGCGTTTCTTTGAAGTCAAGACGTTGAAACGTACCTATTTTCTATATAATTTAGTAGCTGTCTTGATTTGTTATGATAAAAAACTACCATAGAATCTCTATCAATGCTCTCCTCTCACACTGTTTTTGCTGATTAAAATAGTTTTGCTATTATGTCGGCTTATACGCTATTATAATTATGCGGTGGCGTAATTGGGACGTCATAGGTAGCAACTCAAAACGTTGTTTACAATCTTTACAAACTTGTCTATTCATGCATGCTCTATTGCGGGGTGATAAAGTGCCATATTCAATAAGCTCAACAATATCAGCGCCAATGCTTTGGTGTAAAACGGTTAAAGTGAGCACCAATATCAATCAGTGAACTCTGTACATCACATCTGGAGCGTTATTTACACATCTGCAGTATAGATGATGATTGGCACCATCTTCTTTTTTGCTTTAAGGTTTGAATAGCATAACATTGATGGCTGGATTACCGGATGTCGGTCGACCTGTTTCAGGTAATGGTTTATAAGGATGAACTGAAGAGAATGGTGTTTAATTTAAGGGATTGCTTTACCCTTGCCACCATGACAAGCTTGGGGAAGATCAGATTTTAAGTGAATTTGCAAGCTTAAATGAAAATTTTGGGAAAAACTAAGTGGGTATTGAAATCGTTGTTTAACCATGCATTTCATCAGCAGCTACTAATTGTCATAATGCAGCAACAAAAATTTAAGAAGGCAATTTAAAATTCAAAGAAGAGTACATAATCTTTGTTGTATACAGATGAAGTTTGTCTCCAAATATGCACGTGAGCATCCATCCTTTTGCACAAACATATACACGATCCTCCACACACTCCTAGCTTTAAGCTGACCCTTGCTTTATCTGCAGGCGAGCTGTTCTTTCTCTTGTTTGTTTTATTTGCTGTAACTTTTAATTTTGTACAGGACAAAACGATCCTCCTGATCCTCACCATATGTGGTTGGACGTTCCAGGGAATCGTCAAAAGAGGAGGGTAAATTTCAGTAAATTTTTCATCAAAAAATTGCTTACATGACATGGCCAGAAATGTAGGGCGCCGGTAAGCGGTGAGGTGTGTGGGCTCATGCGGTTCAGTTTTCAGTTCATTATTTAGATCAGAGTCGCTCAATTTGAGCAAGACGATATTGCGATTGTTTTTATTTTATCAACCAACTACACAATCTGATACACAGATACAGTCCGATTATACACAAACACAATTATAATAATCAATTTTGTAAATAAGTATACAAAAAATTACCCACTTATCGATAAGATATTGTTGAATATTTAATATATAAGTTTTGCATTGTATCATAGCAACAGCGCTGTATCATAGCAACAGCGTTGTATCATAGCAACAGCGTTGTATCATAGCAACAGCGTTGTATCATAGCAACAGCGTTGTATCATAGCAACAGCGTTGTATCATAGCAGCTGCTAAATAAAAATGAGTAATGGCGATCGAATATCACTATGCGAGTCCTTTGAGGTACAAGAGCATGTCCCTTTAACCAGGTTGTGCTCTTTCCAAGCACATGTGTTTTGGAAAATTAGGGGTATATTATATTTACATGAAATATTTCAATTCTGAGATCTTTAAAATTCATTTTAGCATCAAATGTGGTATAAAAAATTCCTAAAATAGACAAAAACACTTCTATTTTGTGTATTTTAGGCAGTTGTTATACCACATTTGATGCTAAGTTATTTGAAAGCGAAGACTTTAAAATGCATGCAGATCATTTGCATTTCTGTATTTTGGGGCATCAACATTCTATCCTCCGCTCCTAATTTATTAGATTTTCAGTTTGCTTTACCTTATAAGGGGTGCAAATTATAATTGGTTTCGGAAAATAATCCCTGGAAAGGTGCATTCTCTCAAAATTCTGTCCAAGCAGCAAACATAATGTCTTCATTTAGGTCTTGCATCTCTGTGAAGTATTTGTGAAAGAGATTGAAGCACAATTTCTGAACAAACTGGAAAAAGTAAGCGACGAGGCAAGGCGCTCATTAAGTGGAAACTTAGTGCAGAAATTCGAAGATGGGGCAACTATTTCAATTGCCGGATTGGGCATTGTTGCTGGTTGCACCGCTTTTGCAGCGAGTGCCGCACTCTCGGGCGGTATTTCAATTGCTGGAGCCATAATAATTTTGATTCCAATAGCCGTAAGAAAATATAATCAAAAAAAGGAAAAAAATCGTGCTCAAAAGGTCGAGCTGGTTACACACGAGGAATTCCCTTTCTATTTAGTATCGATAGTTAGAGATGCTGCAAACGAACTTTCTCGCATTTTTGAGTACCAGTTAAACGTTTTGAAATGTGAACGCCAAGTAAAAATCTTGGCTAAATGTGCGGTCGAATTGATGTTGGATTTCAAGGGTGATGAGAAGTTTGAAAGGGATACATTGCTAAGGAAGGTGCTACAAGACGGAAAATTGAAGAATAATGAAAAATTCAAAATTGAAAATGATAAGGAATGGTCAGCTTTTAGTTTGTTTCGAAAGCCTGGATTGCGTCGTGGGGATCATGGAAAATTTCTGTTTAAAGTCAAGAAAGGTTGTAACGCTCAGAAGTATGGATATCGCTCTGAGTTTCTTGAAATGAAGTCTGGTGTCGATGAGATTGAAAATCGCAGAGTGGGAAAGCTGAAAGAGTCATGTAGCAAATGTTCGGACGAGGAGTTCATCCAAGGGATATATTTTGTTGGATCAAGTATCGATGATGAATATAGCACAGTGTGCAGGGAGAATAATCCTCCAGAGCATTCGGATTACATTCCAGTCCATATTTTGGTGCGATGTCCCAAAGTTTTGAATTCCTTTGCCGACAATCTGAAAGCAGTTCCCTCGTTGTCCAACTTCTTGAAAAACATGTTCTCCCTTCCTGAAGATCATATCCTACAACCCGTCTTTCGTCGACATTCACAAGCTAGAGTTTCAAAATTGTCCGGAGCAGATCTTACTGGAACGGATTTGAGCCACGCCGTGTTCAGAGGATCTTCCCTTAAAGAGTGCATATTTAATAGTTGCTGCATGTTCTTTGCAGATCTATCGCAGGCAAAGCTGTCTGGCTCAACATTCAATTCCACATCAATTGTGCACAGTTATCTGATGGAGTCAAGTCTTACATGTAGTGCGTGGATTAAAACAAATGTACATTATTCACGGGTCGAAGGAGCGGATTTTTCCCGCACACGACCAAGCATCGGTGGAAATTCTTTCAAAGGTACCAACGTCTCGGAGGCCAAATCCGAAGGGACAGGACCATTTGATTTGGATGAAAGTAAGTATGAATATAATATAAGCAAACAGTGTGGGAGTATATAATGCTATATACTGAGCTAACTAAAGTTGCTGGGGTTAAAATTATATAGATTTTTGTAAAAGCATAAAAATAATGCATTGACGTCCAAATTAGAGCGATCCGTTATGCCGGATTTGTTGAGCTTGAACTCAAAATCTAAAAATTTGATCCCAATCAACTATTTTAGGTCCCATAAGCACGTGCGAAGATCTGCAATTTGAATACTTTGAAAGAGAGAGTATCGACGCTGAAGTTCAAGAAATTAAAAAAGGTGAACCTGTTTTGCTGCATGGTCCGACAGGAACGGGAAAAACCTCAATAGCGGAACATTTTATCGAGTTGAACAAGCAGAAATTTTTCATTCGCTGGTTCTTAGATGTATCTGAAGCTGAAGATAGCATCGTCGCCTCTTTAACCAACTTAGCTCGAAAACTTGGTGTATCCTATGATCAATTATTTGAAACTATCAACAAGCAAGCCACGGAGAGGAAAATGATATTTCTGCTGGACAACTCGAGCAAGCTAAAAGGCTCAGCCCTTACTCGTCCAAGATGGTTCACGAAGCTTTGGAGTATCAGGAAATCGATTTACATTATAATCGTAAGCAAGGAAGTCTTTTTGGAACCTGATGAAGCGAAAAGGATTGCAGTGGAAGAGTTTAAGGAGGCCGAAGCGTTTCTTAAAGACGTTCACACTAACAACCCCGAAGATATCCCGAAACTTTGCGAACATTTTGGTTGGAATATCCTTGGTCTGTCAGTTGCCAAATGGTACATGATGGAGTATGGATTTCTCGCTCATGAATATCTGGAGTTTCAGTATGACAGAGTGAAAGAGGATGTTCGTAGAACTGAATTAGACCGCCATGGGAAGACACTTTTCTCAAGCGTGTACGCATGTTTAGAAAAGGTTGATGATTCCATTCTCCGCACTATTGCTTGTGTATCTCTGATCTATCATCAAATGATTCCAGAATTCCTTTTGATTGGTCAGTTTTCCTCGGGCTCACGAAAGGAGAATATGATCGAGCTAACCCATGTCAAAAGACAGCTCAAGCCATTTCTTCGCATTACTGTCGAAAAGGGCATTCGTTTCTTTTCTCTTAACAGTTTCACAAAGTATGTGATCAGTGAGTTGATCGATGAGAAGGAGCGTGCAAATCTTCCCTGCAGATTGGCTGGAATACTCGCGAAGCATTTCAGCAAGGATAATCGCTTTTCAAAAGGAAATTTCTTGCAGCGTCTCATGCGTGAACATGCTAATAAATTTCTGCAGCTGTCGGGAAACACGAGAAATGAAGACGCCCGCACGTCCATCGCCTTAGCTCGTTTGTCGGAGCTCATCGGTTTCGTCCTCACTCAGGAAAAACCATTTAACGAGAAAGTCGCGGATGATCACTTTCAACGCGCTCGAAATCTACTTCACAGCCTGTGCGAAATACAAACAAACGATTTCCAAGGCAATGGAGAAAAATCACTTTCTGAAAACTTTCCCGAGGAGTATGGCATAACCGAGAACGACGAGGCAGTTTCCTTGCGTTTGTTTACTTTGCTGTCACGGAAAAGCTCGGAGCTACCGTTGGATGATGTAAAGGAACTTGTTTTCTTGCGTACTATCGACGAACAGGATGTTGCATTGTTTCCTGAAGAAGTCAGAAAGAATCAGGCCTTGAAGGAAAAGATTGCATACTCGGATCCACTTTCCCTTGAAAATGTTGATCTACTTGTTTCCCACGGAGTGGCATACAGCGAGGCATCTTACAAGGAGTTGTTTCTACCAGAGCTGTACGTGTCGATAATTTACTCCCTAGGGCGAAATTATTTCTACAAGAATTCGACCACCACCCAGAGTCTTATTCACCCACCTCCTTTTTACGTCAACCTTTTAAAGCTAGCTTATTGCTTAGCACGGAAGATAAGCGAACGAATGAATCCTGGCGATGCAGTTTTGCATGAGTATTTGGCGCAAACGAATGGTCTTCTGTATCTTCTGGTCAACGACGACTTTGTGAATAAGGATGGCGAATTCGTCCAGAAGGAAAAACAACACCACTGCAATGATTTGAAGGCTGCCATCAAACTCTACCAAGCGTTGATCGATGACAAAAGGCAATTCTTCGAAAGAGGAATGTTAAAGAAGACAAATGACGACGTATACAGCAAGTTGGTTTGCCATAGACAAATCTTGGTGTGCCTTAAGAAGTTGATAAAGTACGAGGACGGTGATGACCGCGAAAAACATATCAAAGCTGGCAATCTTCATTGCGATGAACTTTTGAGGCTTTTACGTATTATAGCGCCTCAAGATGGCAAGAGGGATGTTCTAGTTCAACAGTTCAGATATTTCAACGCCATTGCTGATTTTTATTCCAATATCCAGAGTTCGAGTAAAGATCTCCGATTAATACACATCCACATGATTTCTGCTGAGTATGCTAAAGAGCACGATTTCATTCCGCAGTATGTGGACGCTTTGGTTAAACTTGCAGACATTTTTTGCCGAATTGGCATGGATGATAAACCCGGGGCAACCCACGTCTCCACCAGTTACGTCAAGCAATGCGACAGCTTGGAAAGTTGCCGAGAAATTCAGCGCCGAGAGCCTCAGATCCAAGAAAAACTTCTGGATATTAAACGAAGAAATCTCAGAGCAATTTTCATTCGCTGGGCTTCCTTCCGATCACAGAGACGGCGGAACCGGAGAGTCAAATGCACCCCAAAGTTTTGTGGAGGGAGAAAATGTGCGCTTCTTTAAGAGTGGCGAACCTTAATTTTTGAGCTAAAATATGTTTCAATATATTTCACTTTGAAACTTTGCACTTTTAGTAAATTTTGGATGCTCTTTCTAGCCTTACTGGCAAATTAAAACTTTTTTCCAATGGAGAAATGGTTTTTTAAAGTAATTCTTGAATAGAAATATTCCTTTTTTACTTTTTAATTGTTGTTATATACACAAGTAACGAACCACGCACCATATATCACCCGAACATATTGAGCACACATCACGCTATATTTTATTATTTTAATCTGTAATCACGTGCACGTTCACGTTTCTAATCGACTCTCTTCGAAGTACTTTTCAGTAATCAATCATAGTGAATTAGATTCAGATACAACTGCATGTTCTGATGTTCATAATTATCATAAAGCTAATTGTAATGGTATCGTCTTATAGTAAAGGTTTGTTATAACAGTACATACGTGTAATTGGATGAAATATAAAACATTTAAGCAAAAAAACATAAAAATAAGCCTGATTAATTTTTACAAGATCAAAAAATGCGTCGAGAAAACTTATCCTGAAAATCTCTTCGCCTATGGATTTACACTTATTTACACTTACGTATATCAACGCAAAGTTTGTCCACGACAAAGTAAAAAGCCCAGGGGTCATCCTAAGTCCTCCCATTTTCCAAAATGCATGGCAGGTTTAATTGGAAAATGAGTAGTTCTAAAGCCTAAAATAGGCAGTTCTAAAAATTGAGTTTTGAATATAAAATGTTGAATTCCCAATATAGTTTATTTTAAAGAAAATAGGAAGCATCGATGAAGAACTGGACTTAGTTACTTCCCAGATTAATAATTGTGATTTCACAAAATTTACTATTGATTTTTCGTTATATTAATTTTTTTTTCTCGAAAGTGTTCTCAGAATGCTGCGCTATCCATTACAATGGAGAGGAAGACTCGTGCCAACAACGCATGTTGGACCTTAAAGCAGCTATAAAATGGGCAGTTCTGATCTTTTTCTTAGGATTACCCCTGAAAAAATCGAATGACGTGTTTCTGAGGTTAGTCGTTTCTTAGAATTCAAGACGGAAGAGGGCGAAAGTCTAATAAGCTACCGTCGTTTGTGCAGCTCTAATCAACTTCACACCGTCGTTTCCTTTCCGATAAGAAATTCATCGAAACATTCCTGTATTTTCTCCACAGCGTCCACTCTATTCATTTTGGAAAGTGTTTCTTGAAGATGACGTAATGCATCTCTCGGACTTCTGCTTCCCTGATCATTCTCCCATTTCATGAGAAGCGTATCTGTTGGACTTTGTATTTTCGGCGACCCCAACCATCGTATGAACTGCAGGTCATAACCCAAGCGATCTGCTAACATCGTATAATTTTCGATACCGACAATTTCTACATCTAACAACTCTCTCAAGTCTTTACGAAGTCTTGTCGGAATGAATGCCACGGTTGTGTTTTCACCGGATCCAGCGTAGCCTGAGGAAGACACAGAGGAAAATCCAGCTTCGGTAGACGCGTTCATTTGTGCTCTTTTGATCTGCAAATAAGAAAAGTCTTGTTTGGAAAAGCTATCGAGTTGTGCTGAGTTTTTCTGATATTATTATTGAAAAATTTCAAAGATTTGGAAGCCTAGACGATATCTCCTCAAGACAATGGAATCAACAAGGTTTTAACCAACACCTCAGGAATTGGTGTTTATGAAATTTTATCCCGAGGATCTATCCACTGTTTCACAATTGTGCATTTCTGTATCGCTGTCAACGAGAAAACTATTGAATAACTCAGTTAAAAGGTTCAATTTTTCTTTTGAATATGCATTCTGCAATCTTTTGACAGCTCATCGTACACATCCGACAGCTGTTAAATAGCCATTTTGAGGCTTGAATTATACACAATTAATTAATTCAGGCGATTCGCTTTTGCCACATGCAAGCTTCAAATCTTTTATGCAAGACATATTTTGCTAAGTATTTATAAATTTTTTTCTCAACAATTTCATTTTATTTTTCAAATGAGAATGATTACCTCCGCCTTAAAATTCACCGACAGGGTAATATCAACAGGTTTATCAAATTTACAAGCATCTTGAGTAGCCCTGAACTTGCAAAAGATTTTTTTCGGTCTCTCATCCACGTGTTCAAAGACAAAAGTCAGGTTGGGAGATGCAGCTTCGTGGCAGTGGCACAATTCTTCATACCCTCCAATCTGAAAATGTGTAGAATCACAAAATCCTTACAAGGTTTGCAAGATGATGTTCACGTTTGCATCGGAATTGTAAAAGCCTAAGCATGTTGATATGAACATACTGTTATCTTTCCCCTGCATGCAGGTGATTATGTAAAAAATTCGTCCAACTGACAAAGCTAAGGTACTGATCGGCTCAATTGAACTGATATAAACATTTCAAAACTGTTTTCTCATCCTCATAAAATTCTCGAGAAATTCAACTTTTTTGCTATAGTGAACTGCGCCTATATAACTAAGTAATTTTAACGTTATATTTTCGATGTATAGTGCCTAATGAGAAGGAATTTCGTATTAATCTAATCGCCCCATTTGTTTACATTTTTCTTGTTAAGCCAATCAGGATGCCTGCATTTTTTTGCGCATTTTTACTAGAAGTAGTCAATATTCATGGATTCTGATCCCGTAATTAAAAATAAAAAAAAATTGCAGATTGGTCCAAAACGATATTGCACCTTGTTACAATACCTGTGTACTTTCTCCTCGTATCTTCCATCCTTCACTGACTTCAAGGGCCTTGATTTTGATATCACCGCTGTTTTCATAAAATATCTTTGTTTTTTCGCCATCACAGAGAGTTCCTTTGAGCTTTTTTTCACATTTTTCTACGTCCTGTCATTAAATAAGACAAGTTCTTTACTTCCATATGCAATGGAAGTCTTCCGGAATGATCAAAGGCGACGAAACAATTGTTTGAGAATCTGTTACATTTTACCCTTACTGCCAAAATCTTAACAGTAATAGAAATAAATCACAGGTCTGCCCATGCATTAGTTACTTCAATGTAACGGATATATCTTTTTTGGCAATTGGCAATTTTGGGACACCTCAAGATTCGTTTGAGGCATTAAGGGAGTCATTACCTCATTACCTCCGTTCCGCCTGCGAGGGCGAAGCGCGCTTTGTATTTCAGGTCCGTCACGCTTCCGTTAGAAGATTTTCAAAGGCCGAATCTGATGGAAAGCAGCCTTCAAGAGTCAAGTTCGCTTTGTACATTGGTTCTGCTTAAACAATTTAAGATCTTCTGACTTAAGAATTGCATAAATTTAAATGTTTTGAATGTTTCTTAACATAAAACAAGTTGACACTCATTTAGAAGCGTAACGATCCTCGAAGGCTATTCGTTTAAATTTGCTAAACCGTTTTGACATAAAAAATAATCTGAAAACGGTAGAAAACGTACGTTACCGTGTGCGCACAGCCTCGTACCTAGGCACTTAAATAGTAAAATATATACTGACGTTGCATTCAGTTATTGTATGGAGATCAGTTGAAAAAGGCGAGCGTGCGGTGGTGCATGAGGTGGTTGTCAAAACCACGTTATATAGAAAAAGCAATTTTTATAGAAATAGAAAAGCAATTTTTATAGAAATAGACTGATCACTTTATATTTTTTAATAATTATGCTTACCTCTTGATTGATAGTGGAATTTTTTATACTTGGAATGAAATAGATTCTCACTTTAAAATCTTCATTTGGTTGATGAAAGCTCGTATGATACGCTGCGAGTTTGAAGTTTTTTGCACGTCCTCTACCCTCGATTACGTACCACGAGAAGTGTTGAACAAAGAGACTGAAGTGCTGCTTTTCCATGTGACAGAACACATCTTTTTGTTCTTCTTCCCTTGCGTCGAAAACCTCTTTCCAGTCAGGAACATCGCCTGGCGCTGTGTCACTGCAATGAACTAGAAGAAAGAGAATAATTATACTCAATCTTAAATCGAGAAACACCTTTGATTTAGCGACTATTATTTAAATTTCCTGAAGTTTAATAAACACAGGTTATAATTGTTAAAGTGTTTATAAAAATAAACTTTGAAATGGATGGCTTGAATATAGAAGGAAAAACAAATAGTAAAATTTAGTGGTTTCGTCTACGAACTCCTTATTCAAAAGAATTAACAATAGACCAACTTCCAATCATTGCGCAGTATTTTGGTCACATGTATACATCTGTAATTCTCCATAAAGGTCTTATGAATAAGTAACCATTAATATTAATTAGCATTTATGACTTTGTTACACATATGCCCTAATATGCATTAAACTTAATTTATTCATTTCATAAGGGTGAATACCCGTACATAATCGGCCGCTCGTATTTTACAAGTGGTAAAATTCAAACCTTTAAAATCCCTCTGCAGTTCATCATCAACCGCCAGACAGTGGGGCAAGATGAGAAGAACGTGTTTTTTGAATCGTAATCCATGTGGACCGCACATTACGACTGGAGTGAGCATACTGGCTCTAAATTGTTTCGGAATAAAATCTGAATTTCCCGTCAATGCGAGTTGAATTACTTCTTCTCTTCCGAAATCTAAAGCTCCTTCTGGAATAACCATTCTTATTCCGGTGCCAGGTAAGGCGACTTCACCTCCAGTATGGTTAATCAGAGAACTTGCAAAGTACCTTTAAAATAAAAAAAGTTTAAAAACACAGATATCCAAACAATAGCTTTGTTACAAGCACTTTTGCATGATTCGAGCTTTTGTGCCAAAACTTTTTAGGTACAGCATTTTTGTAAAGCATTTTACTTTTCTAAGCTGAACCGGATGGAATTTCGTTTTGAGCTTCTTTGCAAATATGCTTACATTTTTTAGGCTAATATAAGCCATCAATTTACCGGTGAAGTATTCAATATTCTTGCATTCTGATTGACTTACTGAAAATGTGCATTCCAAGTTTTCGGTCACTCGCTATTGTACAATGTTTTATATAATTATATTGCTATGCAAATAAAAAAATTTAAAAAATGCAAATTTTTACCTTTCATCAGCATTTGGAGGAACTGAAATCAACCCATTCAACAGCGCTGACGTCTTTGAGTTTGTTGAAATATCATCTTTAGTAGCATCGAAACTTTCACTATCAGAAAAGGGGTCGGCTGTGGGGCAGAATGTAAATCCATCAGGTGGATAATATTCAGAGAATGAGTTAAACGATCCGGAGGAGTTCAGAATATCACGCTGTTTTGATGACGTTTCACCTAGATCAGACGATGTTATACTGTGTTTACATGGTGTATTTAAAGCGCAGGTTTTTTCTGGATCATGAAAACTAGAAGCGCGAAGAAAACTTGACGAAGAAGGAAATGAAGCTTCAGGATCGCGTTGATATTCCTGGATGCTTGAATTTCCTGATATATTCATGATTTCGTCGTCCTTTTCTGGTTTAGAAATCACATCGGGCAACGCCACTAGTTTACCATAAAGTGGATCATCTTGGTTAGGAACGGATTTTTGATTGTAAATATTGTAAACTGGTGCCGCTTGAAAAGGATAAAAGTCTGGACCATGACGAGTAACCGAATTTGACCGTCTTGTATCTGCACCTAGTGAAAGGACAAGTTTGTTCACATTTAACACTGCTTGCCCCAAGTCGTCGTAACAATTTGGAAGAAGCTATTAACAACGTTAACTTGTGGCAAATTCCGATTGCTTAAGTTACTACAGCCTTGGAAATACAAGCTTGTAGCAATATTGCTGGATCAGGTTTGTACCAGACTTGGTGGAACAGCATTGCAACAAATTTTTTTATTGTCACACACTTGTAGAAACGCTCGGATATACAAAATATAAGTATAAAGTAATAAGTATACTTACCATTTAATACATGCAGTATTTTAAGGATGTTTGGAAGTTGATATTTGATCGAAGCAAGTATACTTGCAAAAAAAATTAGACATAATGCAGAGCCAACTGCTGGTATCACAGCAGGGTGTAGCACTAGATAAGGAAAAATGTTTCTGGTCACATCCACAACTTTTCAATTGTTGAGTTTTAGTGAACGCGTCATATAAAATGCACTAATATGTTATTTTTTTAAAATATATTGCAGGAAAAAAGATAACCGTTGTATGTTACATGCTTTGGATCAGGCCATCCAAACACGGGCTTCGAACAACCAGAACACACGTTATATTCATTTTTAAATTTAACAATTCGCCGAAGCTAGACAAGGTGATTATCGGGAAAATTCACCGAGACAAGGTCGAGGTGTATATTCACCGATAATCACCGAGCCCAAGGCGAATAATTGTTTTAGTACTTTTGCACAAGTGAATTGACACAAGAATAAAATGAAATTTTATAATTTCCGTCAGCTAAAATAATTGCACGTAACATCGCACGTACATCACATGACTAAATTACAATTGCATTAAACATTCGCGTGCAGAACACATTCAACGTTCAATCGAGTTCATTTACAGTAGATCATTCGTCTCATTCATTCATCTCAAGAATGCTCATCTCTAATGTCTGTATGCAAAGAAAAACTTTTTGGGCCTACAGATATTATTCCTAGCGCTATGGACCGTCACGCCTGATACGGTCGAGGGCATAATTCGCCCAATTAGTTGGAAATATTAGGTCTCGAATTAGGGCTTGACCGCTTGATAGTTATTGTATTATTAATGATATCATATATTCTAACAGACACAGCGTTCTTATTTAGCTGAATGAGATTCTGAAATTTTAGGAGGCGGTTCACGAACACCAAGACAGAACGCACAAACAGCACTTGTGCATTACTGAAGTAGCTACAGACTCATTATCACATTGCTAAATATTCTAAACAATAGCAGAATTTTACTAGTAAGGAAATTCAATTACGTAATAAAAAAGTCATTTCCGCAAAATTCCGGGCCTCACAAAAACCCGGGCGGGCCTGCAGGCTTAAGCCTACTCAGCCTATAGGGTAATCCGCCACTAGGTGAATTCGCTTTGTTGTGAATACCATTCTGTTCAAGAATATTTTTGATAATTTGTTAACAAAGCCACTCTACGTGGTAAAGTTTTCATGTTTTGACTTCATATCTCGAAAAAGCTTCAATGCAAATTTTGTGACATCTATTGTATTTTGTGGGACTGCATTTTCTTTAAACTCGCTTATCTCTTTGTAAGAAAAGTCCACAAAACGGCTAGCCGCCATTTTGCAATTTCGGTTTTGTTATAGTCACCTGAAGGTGATTATAACAGCATAATACGTCAAATTTGACCAATCAGAATGTAGGATTTGTTATATTCACTTGTGCAAAAATACTAGAGTGTTATTGTCTAAACAGATTTTGAGTACCATACTTGTGCAAAAAGATATTAGAGTATATATGCATACCAAACTTGCTTCCTTTATTTTCACTTTCGTTATCTAATTCTTCTAAAAAACGAAGGGAGTTAAAAGCACAAATTAATTATATTTGTATAAATTTTATAGTATGAGATACTACTTTTGAAGAATTAAGCTGTCGATTATTTGACCAGTATATAGACAGTGTTATAACAAAAGATATTCAGTAAATAATTGGCATCATTATAAGCGAATGTCAACAGAGATCCGCCTTTAAATTAAAAAAATAAACCTGTGGTTTTCTAATCTGATAACCGACTAAATTAATTCAAATTAAAGTTGTTGGCATGCATACATCACAAAGCTTTAAATTTCTGTCATATCAATATTTAAAAATCAACATTTCATTGAATGAAAACCTGTAATTTTGCAATTATTTCATGCCGCATTTACGCTGTAAGATTAAAGTTGGGACTTAAATACAGACAAAGTATAGGTGCATGTACCTCACCTTTGTTATCATACAAAGTTTTATTGTTTGCTTTAATGAAATCGGCAACTACAATAGAAAAATAAGTTCAGAACAACGACATAGCTCGTATTATCGTTTCCGGTTCGGTATTTTTCCATCAGGGGGCAAGATTATACTGAACAAAAAAGCCATGCAACATTGTTGCGGTGGACTCGTTGATTTCTTTGTTTTAAACAAAGAAAACTAAGGTTATGGTAGTAATATTTGGCTACTCTATTCAGTAATATAGAAAACCATGGCAAATCCTTCGCTCTTCTAAGCTACAATCAATTTTTAATTGGCATGTAAATTATCATAAAAAATGACTGGGCTGTGGCCAGTGGATGCTACAAAGTTTAAGCACGTAGTGTGTTTCGTGTTTGTGCCTGCGCGTGGCGAATCAATTGTCCAATCAGAAATATTGTTCTGCATCGTAATGAAGGTCTATAAGGTGGTTTAGTTACCAGTGTCCTCTGTTGTTTTCCTGGTATTGACGGTTACGCTTGGAATTTTCGATATTTCAGTTGTAGCAATGTGATTGACTAGTGTAAAATACAACGTTTTTTATTGATACAGAAATGCAAACTCAACACACGTTATATTAATTTCGGCATGATATCTCTATAAAGATTTACGGAAGTTCTCTCTTAAGGACTGTTCACCACGGATCCATGTTGTTAAGGTATTCATGGTTTTCATACAGGTCTCACACAAAAAACATCAAATTGTTTATCATGCAATACTTAAAAGTTAAAACCTAGTTACCAAATAGATGTAGGCCAACGTGGTTTTGTGTGTAGGGCAGAGATAAAGTTAACTTTGTTCCTGTCCTACCACTCACTCAAACATATAACGTGACACAAGACTCTCCTAGGCTGACACAAGACTGGCCTAGGTCGCAATTTGGTCGTGTCGAATGCAATTGAAACAATAGATAGTGAGATGATAAGCCACATTAAGCTTAATTACCATCTCACTATCTATTGTTCGAATTGCATTTGACGCGACCAAAGTGCGACATATAACCTAGGTCTCAGTTCAGTATATGTATAATATCAGTGAAAAGTTTAAGTTCTAGCATGCAGGTACGTGTCCCAAGAAGCAAGCGATGCGAAGAGAGAACACTTAAAGTTAATTTAAACGTGTTGACATTCTTCCCCTAAGTAGCTATATATGCTTACCCGAGAAATGATTTGTCTTAATTTTAATTTGTCGCTTGGATCCATTTTTAAAGATAGCTTCGGGTTCTGAAAATAGTTTGTTTATATATATGTAAACACTGCACAAAAAGAAGGTTCTTTCTTAAGCCCCGTTTACACGGTACAAACTTAAACCGGTTTAAATTGAACTCGTTTAACTGGCACCATAGCTGCGTTTACATGACCACTTTAAGAAATTTTAAAATGATCTGGGTAGTTTAATCCACCTCGCGCAGGTAGTGCAAAGTAATCCCGCTTAATTTACACCGATTCGAAAGATCAAAGATCAAGTTAAACCAGATTAACTGTGACCGTGTAAACGGGGCTTTATATATATTGTCATAACTTCATAGTTTAATTTAACATAGCATGCACCAATTAGACTTATGATAATTTGCTGAACGCCATGAGAAAAATAGGTTTACTCGTGCTTTAAAAAAGGACTTAGCGTTCATTCAATTCAAAACTACCCAATTTCAAAATTAGCATTTAAAGAGTGGTGTAATAAGTTCCATTCACTATTCAGCAACATTTTTTATCGGTATACAGAACAGTATCAAACAGTATCCACATTTTTGTGTAGCCAGTGGTGTTTATAATATATCACGATTAAGCCGTTTTTCTTCATATTTTAATGCATTTGTCATTGAGGGTAAACCAAATGAAATTTTTTTGTTGGACAGAAGATGATAAAATGAATATTGAAAATTAATCTTACCATAAAATTCAACTTCATAAATTCCCCCTTTCTCCATTCCAGCAGCATTTCTGGCTAAACATTGATAACTTCCAGAACCACTTAAATCAGTCCTACTTATGACTAAACTACGATTTTTTTGTCGATATCTCACGTTCTTGATGACGGTAATCTCGCTGGTATTCAGCAGAAGCTGATTTTTATACCAGGTAATTTTCGGCTGAGGATAGCCAGTTATGGAGCAAACAAGATGGATGTTCTTCTCTTCGTTAATTCGTCTTCGCAAAAACGTCTTTGTGGTTGTTTCGCTCCCTAGGTATATATATAGGTATTTCAAGGCTGAGAAATATATTCAACAAACTCCTAAAGCAAATATATTTCATGATTAAAATGTCAGTAACAAACAAACTATCATAATAATTTTTGATGCGTCTTTGTGATTCCGTTCAAAATGCTTTTTCCGGCCCCTGGTATAAATTGTGAACTCTTACCAAAAACGCGGTTTGGAGCTCCAGGGGCCGGTTGGATAAGCCAAATTTCAAAAACACTCTTACAGATGTTGTGAATGATTGAGCCTGCATCTTGTGCATTAAATATGCTGTTCCATTGAATATTAAACAATATTCACATCGAAATATTTCGGCTCAGTTGTTCAATAAATAGATAATTTTGTTTTATATTTTTAAGCTAAACGCCTTTCGAACAAACGGCCCCAGTTCTATACTATATAAGAATTTTGAAGACACCACATGCCGGTATAAATCTCGCCGCCCTGTTACAAAAAGCTTCGTTTAATCTACTAGTGCATGGTGCCTCGAGTGAAACAAGTTCAGCAATTCTAAATTCCTATTTTTCTTTTAAATTTTACAATTAGATTGTAACTGTTCAAATGAGTCAAATTGAAATGACAGCCATGCCATATAGCCATAGTAAATTTTAACAAATTCTGTGCCAATATATCGAGTGTAGACACTGTAAACGGGGCTAATAAAAGGATTCGGGGTTACATACCATGATTGATAATATCAACTGAAGCTTTGCTTTTTACATTCTCCGGCAATGCTTGCTCTTTTATCCAGCAAAAGCAGGTGAAATTAGCGAAATTTTCGGCTTGCTTCGAAAGGATTCTACGAACTCTGTGTGAACAACCACGACCTTGGAAATACTCGTCATCCGAGTTGCATTCGCCGGCGTCATTTGAACTACGGGAATTTTCAAGATCAGGTGGATCGTCAAGTGCCGGGCACACGATTTTGAAACTAAGAGCTGCAATCGGCGCACGACACGAGACGTCTATCGCAGATACACTTGGCTTTGAGATGTACGATATTTCCACGAGTTGCGAGTCTTGTGCAAGTGCTAAAAAAGTGTAGCAATTAAATTGTATGGTTTCAAATACAAAGTTTTCACATAATTATGGTTTCACGGCTTGCATTTTCTTCGTAAAACCTAGTCTAATGAAATTGTATGCATGGTATTTTGGAATTTATATTTCATGGAACTTATGAAACTTATATTTCATACTTTTGGAAAGACACTAACGATAAAAGTCTCTTTAGATATGCCTCTCTCGATCGAGCAAGCTTAATTTCAAAGATAATTTCCACAGAGATTGAATTTGGGTTTTAACCCCGGGTATGAAACCTGAATACACCATTTAAACTATATATACTCGTATTTCAGACGCAGACATGAAATTCTAAACATTTGCGTATGATAACATGCCCATGCAGGCGTAGATTATTTTGTGTGACTGAATAATTCGTTTCTCTGTTGTAATATGTGATGATGACATTCTCTTCAAAGTCGTTTGGGATGGAAATGAAGTTGATTGCGTCATTTGCGTGCACATATAGTTGAAATTTTATTATATTACTAACTTTTGACCTATTGCACCATCAAGGAAGTTGTAAAAAAAGTATTAGTATGTCATCTGACTTTTTTCACGAAAAGTATGTGATGTAAAACTCGTAATCAAACGAGGAAAGCGGACTCAACATTTGATTATGAAGCTCCAAATAGTATATAAAATTGCAACGGGCTATAATCTATATCTCAGCAATTATCATGAAAGTTTATTGTGTGTCTTTTAATTTTCCATCAACAGTGTCTTATGACCGTAATTATACAGAGGGATTTTCCCTTGAAGTCATAATATAAAGGTCTTTCATGGGATATTTGACATGAAATTTCGCGTGTTTTTGGCCAGTTATATCTCTTTCTAAAACAGTCTGTTTTATTTTCTTCTTAACGATTGCAAACACACTGCAAATATCGACTGGTTGCATACGCAGTGTGCTTACTAATCAGATTTATAGCTCTTACATTGTTTCATTATCAAATTGCCTTATGAAAATATTCATACCGACTCGCGCTACAATGTACTTACAATTGACACTCGTGGTAGTATAGCCTGCTCAAATTCATACACAGAAATCGTATAAAAGTTCTCGTACCTTTCTTCCTTTCGATATGTTGTTGCACTAAGTTGTGTTCAGTGTTGACATTCCTGGAAATTGATATTACTGCCAAAATCCAAATAGCGATAGACATTGATTTCCGCATGGTAGTACGTTATAGGCGAGTTGAAAGGATGCGGCGACGATATTCAATGAAGTCCTTCAGGCTTTAGCGTTGTATGGTTAAGATTGTATCCAAACAATCTGTTCGAAATGCGTTGTGTTAAACAACCATGGGGGTCTAAGCTATTATTACCGGATATTACCAAGTACAATGTTATTTAATATAACTTTTGTTTGCAGAGTGGCTAATATTTAAAGGAGATAAGCCCTATAATTACTGCAATAATTTCAATGTCAATCATTTGATAAAGAGTTTTAACTTAATAATTTGCATAGCCAGAGACAGCATAATGTTTAATCAGTGAGAAAAACAATCAAGTCATAGGACGTATATTATATATTTTCAACTCCTTATATGGGAGTTTAATTAGGGGATTACAAACAAAACATATTAATTCTGATCTAAAGATGTTTTAAAAGAACTATAAAATGACATCCCCACACATATATTGCGATTTTGTGAACCGGCGACTGTAAATTATTTACAGTCGGTTAAAAGACTGGTATAAATACCTGACTTACCGGGAAAATTCAGATAGGGGGCACCATTTGCAACTGAAACATGGACGACAGTCACTGGAAATGGGCAACAAGCAACATAAATATGAAAAACACACCGGAAAATTACCCGGTATCCCTGTAGTCTTTCAGTGAAGGATTATTGGTCTAAAACAAAAATTATTTCCGAATATAAAGCCAACTAAATCAAAGTTTCCGTGCCAAGGACGTTTTCCACTAGGCGGAATTTTAGGCGCAGAGCGGAATTTTAAGGAATTTTAAGGAATTTTAAGGGATGCGTATTTTGTGGAATTCAACGTATGCTGGACACTCCTTGCACTACTTCGCTTCTCCCGAAGTAACACGCAATCAACGCTTTTCATTTGGTGCATAAATGGGTTAAAAGTGAGTCCTTTCAATTCGAAAGTGTTCAATGACAGTAAAATTTTAAAACACCGACGTTTTAGAGGAATTTATTGAGCCTTATAACTGCGAGAACCGAGAAGTTTGCCCGGCAGATTCAAGGTGATATTTTTACTAGTGCATGCAGGTAATATACCAACTTATATATCTTTGTTAATCGATGCTCAAGGCAAGTTTCAAAACTTTGCCGTCAGAGTGATGGTATAGATCAAATCATAAATGTGGTTTTCACCGCTGTTATATAGTAGACTGGCAATAAAGGATGTGTTAACGTGTGTGACCGTTTATAACTTTATATATTAAAAGTCGGCCTATAGCTGGTATATACAGTAGTCCCCGCTAACACGAACTCGCTTAACTCGAACTCCTCATGTACTAAAACTCGAACTAAATCCAATTCCCCTTGGATTTGGTAATATTCTTTATAGTAATTTAGTCCGCTTACGTAATTTACTCCACCAACAAACTCGTACTCAAAAACCCGGCGACTACGAGTTTTGGTTGATGGCGTAAGCAAACAACGCGCGAGAATGACGAATCTCGTAGTCGTTGCTAAAGCACCCTAATATGAGGAGCGCATCGGGAAATTACCAGGTATCCTGTGGGCCAATCCGCCAAAAAAGTCTTTCAGTGAAGGATTGTTGGTCTAAAACGAACCTTATTTACAAAAATAAAGCAAACTGATGACTAATCAAATTTCCGTGCTAAGGGACGTTCTCCACTAGGCGGATTTTGGGCGCGGAGCGGAAGTTTTCAATGTCTGCACGCTTCAATGGTATGTTTTCATGCAAAATTCCGCCAAGTGAAAATAGCCTTACAAAGTGGAAAAATAAGGGAATTTTTTCCTATCAACGTATGCGCTGGACACTCCATGTATTATTTCGCTTATCCCGAATTAACACGCCGAGTTCATGCGAATTAACACGCCGACTTCAACGCGTTTCATTTGGTGCATAAATGGATTAAAAGTGAGTCCTTTCAATTCGAAAGTCTTCAATGACAATAAAATTTTAAAACATCGGCGTTTTAGAGGAATTTATTAAGCGAGAAGTTTGCCCGGCAGATTCAAGGTGATATTTTTACCAGTGCAGGTAATACAAACTTATATATCTTTGTTAATCGATGCTCAAGGCAAGTTTCAAAACTCTGCCGTCAGAGTGATGGTATAGATCAAATCAAAGATGTGGTTTTCACCGCTGTTATAATTATAGTAGACTGGCAATAAAGGATGTGTTAACGTTTGTGACGGTTTATATATTAAAATTCGGCCTAGCTGGTATATACAGTAGTCCCCGCTTAACTTCTCGAACTTTGGTTTCGAATCATAGATCAGCAAACTTTAAAATGTGAGAAGATCTAGCATTTTGACAACTGGAAACTATCGAAATAAGTCAAATAATCGGTGTATAAATGTATAATTGATTTTATGCATTCCATCCTGACGAGCTTGACAATTAATACAAAGTCGAAATAATACTCCATTTTCATACCATGATGTTACATTTCCGCAGCTTGTTACTGGGCATGAAATTGGTAATTACGAATAAGACTCCCTACATGAGTTTGGGATATTTTGGGCTAGGAGTAAAATTTCCCCTAGCCAGTTTATTATTCAAAATGTTAATTTTAACAAAAATTCTTTATATATATTAATTGTTCATATGCGTCAAAAGTGTTTTGCCCAGTAAGGTGAGGGCACAAATCGCGCCATCTATGACAACTATAGGATGCAGAGATGGGGAGGAGGTGGGCTTAGATAAAAACGTTTTGTTTGATAGTTGATTCTTGTCAGTTGACTTCGGCGACTGATTCTACTCGCTTATGAGTAGCCTTATTTAACCGTTCTGGTGATGCCTAGGCTCCTCCTTATCCGGATATCTGCCGGAACGCCATTCCTCGTCATCTTTACACCTGCCTAACACTATTATATAATCCTCACACTATCTTGACCCTTTAGCCCAAAACTCCTTCAAACCCATTAACACAGGACGGAATACATAAAATTCCTATTGGCTAGCAAATATCTTATTTAAATTTTAAAAGATTATCTGTAGTGTCACGATCGTTGTTGATCATGCAAGCTTTTTTAGTTCTTTTTGTACCATCTCTACATATTAACTTCAGTTAACTTTAATGTCCAGTTAACTTTTATGGTGTCGCTGCTCTAATCAGTATTTCATTATCATATAAAGCAGGATTTTTTAGCAAATAAACGCATTAACTGCGGCAATCCAAATGTACGCGTAAATATAAACGTAATCTGACACCAACCCCGCTTAACTCAAACCTCCGCTAACTCGAACAATTTTTCTTTCGCCTTGGGAGTTCGAGTTAGCGGGGGAATTCTGTAGGTAGATGATATATGGCGTTTGAATATCGAATTTAAAATTATAATAAGTGCACGGCAACCAGGTATATAATCCATCGCAATTATCGCTACTCTGGTTTAATTAATGAAAGTAATCACCACACAAAGATTAAATTCACGACCCAACGTTTCGACACTCCGGTCTAGTGTGTGGTTTCTGTGTGGAGTTTCTATGATGAAGAAAGCTGCCGTAAAACCCTTGACCCACTGGAACATATTTTCGCCAATGGGTGAAAAACACGTGCTGTATACTCTACACCATGTGGTGATTCGAGAAAGAATGTCTAGCGTTGTTTAGATTGACAGACTGTGGCACTCAATGCCAATTATTTGTGCCCTAAATGGGGATGACGGAAATCTCCTCTCAAAAGAAATTTATATCTGATTGTCAAATGACGTCATCCAAATGGAATGACGGAAATAAATCACCTCCCACTAGAATATTTAAATCAGATGACGTAATGTTGAGATTACATAAGGGCCAAAGTAATAGGGAGTTTACTAGGGGAGTTTAATAGAGAGTTTACGATTCACGAGTTACGACGCGGCCAGCGCGACGATGCGCTTGCAAAACAAAGAAACTCCACGCGCGAGACAATATGTATCCATAATTTGTGATCCCTCAACTGCGTTGTGATTCTTACGACCCCTTCACAAGTGAGCCATTTTCATCGCCTCTCGATGACTTGCAGCGGCGACATAATAGTTTTTTGATAGCTTATATGAAACTGCAATATCAGCTACATCGGAGGTTCTTAGCACAATTGAAACGTTTGTATGATTACTTCAAAGCCCTGGCAGCATAATTAATTTCCTGTAGTTAATTTTTAGTAAAATTATTACTATTTCGACGTCGAGATAACCCTGTCGTAGATCGTAAACTTCATATTGTTTATGCATGCAAGCATGTTGATTGAAACTGATCCGCGGAAATTTATCACGAAAATTAATTTCGCGTTTCCTTAACAATTGAAACTTTTTACTATTAAAGGATATATTGGTGGAAAATTACAGTCGAAAAATGTTACGAAAAACAGCCACAAAATGACAAGTACATTGAAAACTGTTTCACATAAAAGGTAATTCGTATTTGCAGTATTATTATTATTTTTATTCTATAATTATGAAGAAGCACAATAGAGCTATATGCACACCATAGTTGAACCAATTACCTAAACGTTGACTTTGGAAAGAAAGATAGTAATCATTGTTTGTATATATGAGCGCCAAACATGCTGGAAACTTTAAAAGGGCATGTTAGTTTGAAATATACAGCATTGTGCTTATTGTGCTATTGTGTAGCTAATTGCCTTCAGGCTACACTGCCTTGGTAGCTTTTACGTAACACTAGGTCACACATTCAATCTACGTTTGACTGTCATATAGTAAAGACGTTTGATTACGCGCAAATAATTCACAAAAAATTATCTACGACGATTGGAGTATATATAAGTGTAAACCAAAGTACGTAAGTTTAATAGTTATTCGTTGTATAATTTATTGTTTATAGTTAGTTTGTTAATGACATTGACATTGTGTTTTGCTGCATGGTTTAAGCAATTTAGTTTAGTAGTTTTTACTGTCATGTCTTAGTTCGAACCTACACCAGCCACATCTATATCTACGTTTGCGTCTATTCATCAACCTAAAATGTAGTTTTCAATTCTACGCATCTACAATATATTATCTACGCCTAACCTACGAGTTACCCATCGTGCTATACCGATTCAAATATCTCGACACGTTGCATGACTTGTACAAAGGCCCTTGTTCTAATTGATTAAAATTTATTAGTTGTACATTCGTTGTTGAGTTCGAATATTCTATCTCACTTGTATCGGCATCTAACCTGTAACTCTTGTTTTCTGCGACCGGGAGTTACAGGACAAGCATTTGATCATTAAAACAGCATGGTTATCCGTGTCAAAATATTTGACATGATAACCAAAGCATAGTTATATTGCTTTATGTTTGTATATGAGCATGAAATATGCTTGCAACTTTACATGAGACAAGCATTTGACCATTAAAACAGCGTGGCTCCTCTCATAATTTAATCTTTCTGCTTAAGACATGCGAGAAGCCAACAACTACAGCGCCATAGTCAAACTTGCAAGAGGAGACTCTTTGGTTGTTTGTATTGTTTAATGTTTGTATATGAGCGCCAAACATGCTGGAAACTTTACATAGAACAAGCGTTTGACCATTAAAATAGCGTGCATGGTTATCCATGTCAAAATTTTTGACATCATAATTACCAAATCATGGTTAATTGTAAGCTATTGGACTTACAGAAGAAATCCGTCGGAAATAACTAAATATATGAGGAAACACCCCCCCCCCCCAAACTTTGTTCTAGTTTCGGATTTGCTGGTAATGAGTTAACAATTATTCGCCGAAAGCGCGGTGAATATCTACAGAAAAAACGCTCATAATATTATTTTTGTCAACCAGGTCAAAATTAACCACATTAACAGAGAACCATAAACGATGGTGCGTCTTTGGAATTGCTCTCAACCATGTCGTCGTCCCTGCAATACGTCCTGTTCTAGAGCAGGAAATTCTCAAGGAGTACAACGACCTTAAATTGAACCACAATATTCATGTTCAGACCAGACACAGCTTTCCCTCGCCGAAATATCCAACTGGTAATGCCATGAAATACGAGAACATCAACGGGAATGATACCAAGTTAAAAGCCCCGCATCATAAAAAGTTTGATTACTCCAAGTTTGACTACAAAGTTACTTCCCATATCGACTTTGCCAAGCTCTTTCTGCAGAATTACATGGCTAAGCTCAGCGCGTTCGACAAAACTTGTGATGCATCCGCTGTGCTTACTCTACTTGGAAGAATTCCAGTGTTTTCTGCTGCTCTCCAAAATGCGGCAAATGTTGTTAGAGAAGGTAGAAACGCCTGGGCTCATTGTGATGTCACTAAGTGGAATGAATCCAACTTCAAGAAGAGTTTTGACGACATGGAAAAGCTGCTAAGTGAAGTTGGTTTATCTCCTGCAGATGAATCGAGGGTTTTAGCGGATCTTAATGACTGGAAAGACAAAGTTATGTGTTTTTTATGTAATTTTTTACTTGTTGCATATATTCTATTCCGTATTGCATGATAAAAGAAGCAAAGTTTTAAATAGGAATATTGGCCTCAGAATGGTTTCTAAATTATAGTTTTTCTTGTTTTAGGTGTTGCATTGTGTATGAATGCTTCAATTGATTCGGAGCTAGTTAAACTAATGCAAGAACATGTTACTAAATTGTCAAGTCACGTGAACAAGATGGCGTTTGAGAGTCAAGAAGAATTGTGCAACTTGAAAGAAATTTTAGAAAATACTGACGAAAATTTACAAAATTGCGAGAAACGAGTTAAAAATATGGAGCTTACCCAGGATACCATGCAAGATGAACTAAGTTCCACAATTGACCAAGTAGAACAACTGAAAACCAATCAAGAAGTTCTTCAAGAAGAACAGAGTTCTATTTCAGCCAGAGTTGATTTACATCAGGCCGGACATGAAGCCATTCAACAACGTGTCACAAAAATAGAGGGCCAACAGAATATTTCTTACGGTATTGTTTAAATGTTGCAATTAGTTATCATTTATATAACTTACTTAAGATAAAATCGGACATTTTTTATCCTCCGTCTATGGAATCCGAATTTTCTTCCCATTTGCGAAACAATTTTTTGCGCACACGGTAGTTTGCTCTGTTTTTTGTCGACTAATAGACCCTTTGCATGTTAGACTACCTCTTGATCTGTGCAAAATAATCCAATCAAATCACCACAGCTGAAAAGAGCGTACTAAAATTAGTAAAAATGCAAAGTTTGGTTGCGAAATGTCGTAAAATACGGAAAATATAGCCTTGCAAAGTTTGCAAATTTGTATACTTTTGTTTAACGCACGCAAAATGTTACCACATTCGGGCCCAAAATGGTAACTTTTTTCGTGCATTAAACTAAAGTATACAAATTTTCAAACTTTGCAAGGCTATATTTTCCGTATTTTACGACATTTCGCAACCAAACTTTGCATTTTTACTAATTTTGGTACGCTCTTTTCAGCTGTGGTGATTTGATTGGATTATTTTGCACAGATCAAAAAGTAGTCTAACATGCTAAGGGTCTATTATATTGCGCGAAATTCCAAGGAAATAAAATTTCGCAAGATTAGTATTGTCACAGTCCTAATAAAATATTTAAATACTGGCCCAGTATTCTATATCTGAGCTAATGATTAATCTGGTTGATCCATGAATCAAGTTACTTAGAGAGGTTTTAGTTATTAGTATGTTACATGCTTCATAATTGAGGCTAAATTTTGAAATTTTAGGTTTCTCGATTGTACTTCTGACATTGAATATTTTGCTGGACGTTACGATCCGACACAAGCCTTTGGCTACTGCAAGATTTCAACAAGTGGTTCAGTGATTTGGTAACTCAAGAGCCTATGTGCTGGGTGATGCCGCAGTTGGCAAAAGTCATGGCTGCTGTCGTCATTCAGAGAGCAAAGAAAGATGGAAACAGCAGCTGCGTACTTTTGTCGTCACTACGATGGCACACGTCGTGATCCCAGGTATCCTGTTACTATCGCTTATCAACTGTGTAATTGTAATAGTCAATATGATAGAGTTGTGAGGGAATCCGGATACAAAATATGTTGACTAATGCTAAGCTAGGAGTTCACGAGCTGTTTACAAAATTGCTAGAAGAGCCATTAAGTAAATGCAGTCCCATTGCGAAAAAACTTTTTGATTGATGCACTAGATGAGGCAGAGTATTTCTCCAGAAAAGATTTTCTTGATCTCATAATGAACCGTTTTCCAATGCTTCCTAAATGGCTCGTTTTCTTCATCACTAGTCGACCGGAGGACATCGTCCATTTCAAATTGCAAACGTACAACCCATGTATTCGAATTTGTGCAGGTAATAGCGATAGTGCAGGCTTTTATGAACAGCATAAACAGGATATTCAGCGCTTTTTAGAGAATAAGATAAACTTTGTGGGTCTGCCCTACACTGCTGAACAATTAACAGAAAAATGCAATGGAATGTTTTTGTACGCTTTCTACATTGCGGAACATCCTGACCAGTTTAAGGATGGTGCACATATTTTCCCTGATAATATTAACGAATTCTTCTACAAAAATTTCGAACGCGTCAAAGAAAAAATAGGTAAGGATATTTATAGAAAATTGTTCGGCTGTGCTTTGGTGGCGCCTTCTCCACTTCCTGTTTCATTTATTTCGCTTTTCTTTTGAAAAGAGAAAACAACGCTTTAAATGAGCAAGAAGTGATTGATGCTGTTTCGCTGTTTGTTGCCTTACGAACTTCAGAAAACCTTTGCGTTTCTTCACGCTTTGATTCCGTTCTGGTTAACTGACGTACAAAAGGCGTCTCGAGAATTGTTCATTGACAAAGTTGTGTCAAGCAAATACTTTACAAAAATCATCGTTGAATTTCTCCATTGTTTTCTTGAAGAACAACAAAATGACACTTCGTTTGACGAGACTTCACCCGATGTAGTGACATATATCTTAGTTATTGGATTTCGTTTGTTGTATCAGTCAGGTACAGATGTGTCTGTTAACTCTGAAATTGTTTTTAGGTGCCTGACAAACTACTACTTTCTTAAGCAGCGATTAGAAAGTAACAAACTAGGAATTTATTCTCTCCTTGAAGATCTAGAGTTATCTGTTTCCAATATGGCGTTTGATCAGGAGAAAAAAGCTATCCTAGATAACATCGCTTCGGTTCTTAGGGAAGACAAATATATTGTTCTTGGAAATTCTGAACTTCTCGCCTCTTGTCTCCGGAAAGCATCTCAGCTTACACAGGCCAATATTACGCCTCCAAATGTTTTAGCTCACAGTAGAATTATCCAAGTCCAGTCATGTAATGCATTCGATCATTCGATCTTTGTCAGGAATATTTTATGTGACATGAAGTTCTGTACATCCTCTCATAACAAAAGCTTCCTTGCTGGAGGGAAAGGACGATATATATTTTTGTATGACTCGGGTTCTTTCCAAAAAATTTTCGGGCCAATTGAGGTGGCGATTGAAAGTAACCAATGTATATCGCATTTGGAATTTTCACCAGATGACAAATTCATATTTTTTGGGAGACTTGACCGATGGTTATCAGTGGAGGAAGAAAGTGTCGTGGAGAAAACTCAGTTTAAAGGGAACTCTAAATGTTATGAATGGGGTTCGTTTATTTCTGATGGCCAATATATTGCGGTGAGTAGGCAAATTCCTAAACATCCCTTTTGTTTGCGTCACATGCTTTCTAGATGGGCAATTAAGGAGTTGGCTTTATGTGGTGAACTTTGTCCGAAAGAAAGATGGTTAGGTTATACTCGGGAAATGCATGATAAAATCCTCTTACCGTTTGCTGGTTCGCACAAAAATTGTGAGAACTATAAAGAACTTGACAATCCGGAGATGGATATTCGCGAAAGAATTTCTTTTTATTATGCTGATATCTTTGAGCGTCAAATCTGGAATGTCGAGACTGGAAGGCCTGTGTTAGAAGAGATGTTTTCCTCGCAGATGAAGTCAATGCCATTTTTCTATCTTTGGCACATTTTTTCAGTCATGCCTATTGAATATATCATATCACATGCAGAAGATATTGCGCTTCATGACATTGCAATATTTCACGCCTTTTCTAGAATTTTTGGTCGGGTGATCACTGTAATGGACGAACTGACAACTGACTATACAAGCATCAGTGAGGAACGTTTTTTTGAACGTTTTTTTGAAGAATCTCAGCTTTTAAGGGAACGTTTATTGCATTATGTAAATGCAAAATTACGTAGGGAGCAGGAGACCATCTTTAAGGACTGTTCTCCGTGTGCATTAACTGTAGAAGAAGATCACCTGCCAAGTGAGAAAAATATTCATTACATTTCCCAAAGTTTAGAACATGATCTATTGAAAAAGATAGGTCTTCTAGAGAGGGACGATATCTCTTTAATGCCTTTTACAACATGGCAGAAAAGGTTTTACGGCAAACATTATCTTCTCGGAGCAACGGTAAACGAAGATATGTTAGAACAGTCTTCTCGAGGTAAAAATAGATATACTTTGCCTGCAAAGTGTTTTGGTGACTCTCGTAGTGCCACTAATGGGAAACAGCTTGCGATAGTTATTAATAGTAAGTTCAAGCTGCTTGAAGCTGATATAAACGAAAGATTTCGGAAAAATCCTACAGCTTGTTTTCTCTATATCGAAATGTTGTATGATCTTGCTTTCATCCACGACGATTATATTTTCTATGTTTCTGGGCAGAAACTGTTCAAAGGTTCTCTTCAGACAGGCAAAGATATTGAGTGTACTTCACGATTTGTCCCGTTTCGTTGCTCATTTGAACACGACCACCACGGTGAATTTCAATATATTTTCAGTGGCTTTGACAATGAGACCAAAGGTATCTTATTGCAAAATTTGCCTGGAGAATTTCTTCGTAAATGCCTGTTTAGAAAATATACTAAACCGACTCAGCCAGATAAAGTTACATTCACCTCACCTCATTCAATAACATTTCTCTTTGACGATGGATTGTGCCTTTCGTACAACTTAACCGATAAAGACATGATCCAGCACGACATTCGATACTTCGATACTAAGAATGAGCACTCAACAAAGGGCCTCGTGAAGAAATTTACTTTTTCTCATGGTGGAAAAATAATCGCTATGCACCAAGGATCTGAGCTCATTTTATTTAAAGGTGGAGAGTTTCTTTGCTCAGTTTTTAATGTCAAAGAAGAATGTGAACACATTTTTCCTTGTCTAACATTTTCAACTGATGATTCTTTACTTCTATTTTCCGTCCAAAAAGGTGGTGATGACCAGTCTTTCTACGTATGGGATGTGACGAATAGCGTTTTGTCTGATCCTTTAAGCCTTCCATATACGATGCATATAGAAAGTGTTTGTTTTTCTTCAAATAGGACCAAGTTGTATTTCTGTAACGCATTGTCTGTTATGGTACTAGATTATCCTCCAAAGCTCTCTGCTAGATCTTTTAACTTTTTGGATGTGCCTAACGTGCATCACATAGCACAACGTAAATGTAATTACTGCACCGTCTCGTCTGACGACAAGCTATTGGCTTGTTGCATTGGAAATGAGATTCTGATCCATCCCGTCAATGGTCCGAGTTGCTTTTGGAATG